CCAAATTTTAAGAAACTTCTTCAAGAGGAGAATTTGTACCTGATTACCGAGGTATCTAGGATTTACGTGTTTTCGTTTCTTCAATTCTTTTAACACATTGGTATATCTTGAAATAGGGAACTTGAGTGGGTTCGACCAGCAACCTAAGACCCAGTGCCTTGATCGGGTCAATAGTCGGGTCGGGTTTAATAACTATGGCTGGAATAGTGTTTTTTTGAAAAAAAAATGTGGCTGAAAAGAATGAAAATTTTTTATGGGGAATCTACCAAAATGTCACTTTTTTTTGAAAATGTACAAAAAACTTTGATGTGCACACAATTTGTACAAAAATGTCACTTTCTTGTTGTCAAATGTCTAAATTACCCTTAATTTGACCTTTTTTGGAGCATTTAATGCTCCTTCATGATTGTTTTTAAAAACAATTAATGTTGTGATTTGATTGTTTAATTTGTATGTTATAATCATTGAAAATATGAATATTATATTGTAAAATACGAATTTAGTTAATAAAAAATGAATATAAAATCCTTCAAAACCCTAATTAACATTAAAAAACAAATTTATTGTCAAACAAACCCTAATTTCATTTATCTTCTTCATCAATTTTCTTCTTTCTTAAAAAGATATTACTTCATTTATCTTCTTCATCTATCTTGAAAAGTCAGTTATTACGAATTATTTATATTTCTATGTAATAGCTTACTTTTTTTTAGAATGTTAAAAACAACATGATGGTCTTGTTTTTTTAATATTTTTGAAGAAAAAACATACCAAAAATATTTTGAAAAATGTGAAGTATTTCATATTTAATGAAGTATTCAGTCATTTATTTCTGGAAATAGGTTATGACGTTGTAGTTGTTGTAGTTAAGAAATGATTATAAACATTAATGCTCCCAAACACATTTGAAACTTCTCAGCAGTTCCGACATTTGAACCGTCAAACTCGACATTTCGCAATTGTCGGGATCGACATTTGAACTGAAGTACCCAACATTTATACACTGTCGGGATAGATAACTAAACTATCGAATTGGACAGCTGAAAATTCTTGACACCCTTCATTTGACCTTGTAGTATTGCATAAGTTTAAATATTGGAACGTGTCACTTCCATGCTATTATATAGTCGACATTTTGATTGCACATAATTCTTATCATTGCAATCTCAACATTTCAGGTATGAACAATAATTTGAGATTCATCGTGTCGCACGGGGGAAAGTTTGTTTACGTGAATGAAGTGGACTGAGGACAAAACCACTTCCATTTTAGAGCCGAGCAGTATCATACTACCGGGGCTATTGTTACGGTTGAACGAGAGACTTGGTGTTTTCGATCCGCGCACAAAAATGAAATTAAAGTTCAAAGTTCCGAACATGAATATACCGCCGATCGAAATACTCAAAGATGAAGACGTAAATTTGTACATATCAGTTCATAAGGAAACTGCCCTCTGCGTTACGACTTTGGAAATCGGCCTGCTAAGTGTTGAAATGGAGAGGGATACAAATTACAGCCAACAATTATTCGCCACAGCGGAAGATCACCACACCGTACAGGATGACGAGCTCAATCATCAGCAAAGTGTCCCAAACAATAATGCAGCAGATACTCCAATTTTTTATGTTGCGACTGCACCATTAGATGAGATGTTCGACGATCCCTTACATGGTACAAATACTGGTAATATTGTCGACATTGACAAAGAACTATTATCATATTCCAAAAGTCCGGATACATGCTACTGGATTTTCACTGTGAATACGTCGGATGTTACCGAAAGACAAATATTTTTTTACCAAGAAAGAGTTGTACTCGAGAATTCGTCTACTTGCTTTGCGAGAGAAGTTTCAATCTCAGGTTAGCAGGTCAAGCCTAAAAATGTTAACCGTTGTATGAGTGGACGATAATTGTAAGTGGATGTTACGTGCTTCGAGTGTCAAGCAGTCCGCCATCTTCATGATCCACAAATTCAACAATGTGCACACATGTTTCATAGATTATCATCGTAATGCATATCGACATGCCACTAGTTCCGTAATTGCTGAGCTGATTATGGGGAAATTGGATAATACGTACGGATCGTATGATCCTACTGCTATTGCTCGTGACATGGAACGTGAGTTTGGTGTGAAAATTAGTTACCATCAAGCACGGAGGAGAAAGGTCGCTACTTTACATATGCTACATGGTACACCGAGTAATAGCTTTCAAAAACTTTCTTCCTACTGTCACGTCCTAAGAGAGAGTAACCCGGGGACAGTAACACACATCGAAGTAGATTATCGTAACAGGTTTCACTACCTTTTTCTAGCTTTCGGTGCAAGCATTCGGGGTTACCTGCACTACCTGAGGCCCGTTATTTGTGTTGACGATAGTTACTTGAAAGGTCCGTACAAAGGTACCCTTCTACTGGCAACTGCCCAAGAAACCAACAAACATATTACCCATTAGCGTGGGGGATCGTTGATGCCGAAACGAATAGATCGTGGATGTGATTTTTATAAAATTTGAAAGATCTTATAGGTGACTCGGACGAATTGATGTTTGGTTTGGACAGAAAAAATAGTATTCAAAATGCCATTTCCCACCTATTTCCTCGGGCTCACCACGGATGCTATGTTTGACATATGGAAGAAAAATTAATCCAGCGGTACAACAACGCAAGTTCAATATTTCTATTCAAAAGAGCCGCAAGAACTTACCGAATCGAAGAGTTTGAAAGATTTATGGGACAGCTTCGTAGGGTTAGTGCAAGAGTGTACGGGTACTTGGAGCGAGCAGACTTCCTATTTTGGTCACAGGCACTATTTGTTGGCCAACGGTACAACATTTTGACCAACAACAACGCTGAATCTTTGAACTCAAATTGAGACATGCCCGTTCGTTACCGATCACGTGCTTAGTGGAACACATTCGGCATACTATGCAAAAGTGGTTTTATGAACGTCGAGCAAGTGCAACCGCATGTAGTACTGTTCTGTCACCAATGATGGAGAATGAGTTACAAACGACGTTCGAAGCAGGTACTAGGCTGCGAGCGCATGGCTTGAAAAATAACTTAACACAAGTTGAAATATCCAACGACACGGACATCGTAGACTTCTCCGAAAAGACGTGCACTTGTCGTGAATTCCAACTGAATCGTATGCCGTGCGTTCACGCAACCCGTGCTGCTTGCTTAAGAGGTAAGTCATTATACGATCTCTGCTCACCGTATTACACATCCGAGTACTGGAAGGGTGCCTATGGAGAAGCTATATATCCTATTTTGCGTGAAGTGGACTAGAATGTTCCAGCCGAAATCACAGGTACTCCTATTTTGCCCCCCAGTGTGCGTCGTCCTCCAGGTAGACCACCCACACGACGTAAGCGATCCAGACACGAGTGTACCACATGGCTCAGGAAATGCACTCGCTATGGCGGACTTGATCATAACCGGACCACATGTTTGAACCACACTGTACCACGTCCGATGTAAGTAGCATTTTGTACATGAGTGGTTGAAGTTGTAAGTGAAGTGTTCCCCCGATGTCGTTTGTATATGACAATGTAAATATTGTATTATTGTTTTCATTCTCTTACGCATAAACATTACTCTTTGTTATGTTAACATTTACAGTACGCAAATAGGCACAACGTACTACATAACAGCCTCGAACCAAAATAAAATTTTGTTGTGCATAACATTGTTGCCATTGTTGACACATATAAATTGAATGTATGGAATATGAAAAGCTCAACCATTATACAAGTTTCCTTTGAAATGCATATTACGAACACATCATTTTTAGCGCATAACACTATCCGCAAAGTTTACAAACTACATTGAATGTACACATGAGGTTGTGTTCATTCACCCAAAATACATGTTACATGAATATCCATACTACATGCACAGAAAATTTCCCAGTACAACCCGACGGTTCATTTGTCGTTCCCGACAGATGGTGCCTGCCATTCTCGACAGTTGTTCGACGCTCCGTTTAACAAAATACAAAAACACATAACTTGCCAACGGGAGTTTCATACATGCTACAGAATTGGTTAAGCGTCACAAAATTCATCCCTTACAAAAAAGTACTATACATACATATGTAGAAACCCACACACGCAACAAAGCCAGACTCTTCACTCCGACCTAACACTTGAGCCTTCTTCCCCACCGTCATTATCCGAGCTGATGACAATTACCTCGGGCGATGGAATGTGAGCCTGTCCCTCATCCTCGTAACGTCGAACTTCGTCTGCATCCATAAATGGGATGACCCATTCAAGCACATTTCACCTTCATCATTTGCAACTTCGTCCAGGTTCGGAAAGGGAACGACAGTGATGGCTCTCCTACCACCATTCGAACTCACTTTCTCATCGTCCGAAGAAATTACGATAGGACATAGCGGGGTTGAACTGAGTGTCGGCAACGGCTCTTGAACTGCCAGTGATGAATTGCTTCGCGTGGACGATGCCATTGTTTTCATATGACAAAACAGACTTCAAATACTGTGATACGTTCCTACTACAAGATGCCTCAGAAAGACTCTCATATATTCCACTTGAGAGTGCAAGCCATATTTTATACTAGAGGTATATGAGGACATTTAAAGCAATTTAACAACCAACCACCATTTCATTTCTACTTAACACTTGATTGACCATTGGTGTGATGGTTAAGGGTGTAAGTGTACTTTAATACAATCCATAAATGGTGAGAATTATGAGTAAATTGTACCCATGTGCAAGACCTGCAATGGCAACATTCCTGCAATCAATTTGTCATTACATTACTTTACTAAATTTTTGTAGTCCTTAGTCACAATTGAATACAGTTTTTAAATTCTAAATCATATGAATTGCATGAAAAATTGATAAAATTAATGTCCCTGCCAATGAAGATGAACATTGGGTGACACGACAAGCCATTTTTCAAATAAACTTTAATTTGTACGAACAAGCTAATTCATACTAAAACGCATGTTGAAATAAACATACACCGGTTGTAATGTTGGGGCTAATGTAGCAAAGATAACACCGAATTTTTCATACTACGGTAATGCGAATTTTACAATAATCATTGTCCTCGATCCTTCGACCACGCTCCGTTACCCACAAGATCATTTCATACAATGATTCATTTGTGCAGGTATAACACCTTCAACTCCAATGAAATTAAAGTACAAAATACTACTACTTCATCAAATAACATGAACATCAATTTAATTAGAGTACAAACAAATGTCCTGTGTCCTGTGTCAATGTGCATTCCACTTAACCATATCCCAATATGGAATTGAAGTAATCTCGCAACCCCCCTTGAGATCATCAACCACATCATATGTGGTAGTATGTAATGGTCTCCACAGTTGCACCTTCAGGCATGAACCTAGGTTTGGATCCCTTTGGCTATTTTTTGGTGCTATTAACTACACCTCTTGATTTAGCCTCAGCCTTCATTTTGTTTGTACTCTTCATCATTCTACAAAAATTCGTCATCACACCTCGATGAACACACACGCTCAACTCAAAAATCAGCCCTCCGAATGAATCTGCTGCCTACCTGCATCAGGTGTCTGCTAAAGTGAAATGACACAGCAGAGAGTGTTCGTAACTATCCATCCAATCAACGTAAAAACAAAAAAATTTACTCACCTATGGAGTAGGAAACATGCATGCAATCTAATCACCAAAAAACGAACAACCCTTACATATATCATAAACATTATATGCCATAAATATAATGGTGAAGCCAAGATACAAGACAAGGAAGGCATCACACCAGACCAACAGAGGCTCATTTTCGCTGGTAAACAGCTTCAGGATGGCCGTAGTTCGATCGACTATAAAATTTATAAGGAGTCCACACTCCACTTGGTGTTGAGGCTTGGTGGTGGCAGGCATATTATTGTCAAAACCCTTACGGGGAAGACAATAACCCGTGAAGGTGACAGCTCCGACACCATTGATAATGTTAAAGCTGAAGTTGAGGAGAGGCATGTAGATTTTTCTGAAGACTCTGACAGGAAAAATTGTCAGTTCGTCTTGACAAATCATATGACTGGGATGTATAAGAATGATGATATATTCATTTTACTTCTGATGTTGATGTACCCTTTCACATTGAATGAACAATACATGCATTATGTCGTCAACGCATACACACAAAATTTACCGACAATACCATCCCATGCTTGCAATTAACATTTATTATAGCAAAACGATATGTACTTTACAAAAGACAGTTTAACATGTAGCATATTTCATGAACAATAAATGCATTATGTCATCAACGCATACACACAAAATTTACCGACAATACCATTCCATGCTTGCACTAAACATTTATTATAGCAACACAATATGTACTCTACAAAAGACAGTTTAACGTGTAGCATATTTCATGAACAATAAATGCATTATGTCGTCAACATATACACACAAAATTTACCGACAATACCATTCCATGCTTGCACTAAACATTTATTATAGCAAAACAATATGTACTCTACAAAAGACAGTTTAACATGTAGCATATTTCATGAACAATGAATGCATTATGTCGTCAACGCATACACACAAAATTTACGGACAATACCATCCCATGCTTGCACTAAACATCTATTATTGCAATACAATATGTACTGTACATAAGACAGTTTAACGTGTAGCATATGGTTGAGCAAGCGTATCCGTCCATAAAACAAACCAAATTAAAAACATGTCTTTGTTACGAACAACGTATCTACTGCTACATGAGACCTTACCAAACCACTTGAACTCACTTATTTCTTTACTCTCTTTACCCTTTTCCTCATGTATGAAGTACGGGTAGGTGGTGCAGGACGTCGAACACGAGTCGATCGCCGCCTGTTAGTACTGCACACATTGCCTCCCTTCTCTAGTATGGTCACTTGTGCCGGCAAGTCTGTGGCAGCGCCCATATAAAACATTTCAGCATTTTAGTGAAAAATTTCTGTGTGAAGGATGCCACATAGTTGTGGAATAAGATTATTCAAGAAAAATAGGCACATACCGTCCACCTCCGTGACGTCATGGGTCGATGGGCCTTCCTCGTTCTCGTCGCTCGGGAGGATGGGGACGGTCTCTCCTGGATCTAGTTGAAAGAAAATTGGGTGAAATGGACAAACACAAGATATGAATTATCATTTGCGTAGGGGGAAAGTTATTGGTAATAGAACCCAAATCACAGAAGTTGGAAAACATTATGCACGTACCGTTCATCTCCTGCATAACACCCTCCTCCACACGGTCATCGTCCTGTGGGCTATGTTCATCTCCGCCTTCCCCGTCTACTTGGAAGACAGAGAAAAAAGCAATAAACGAGTGAAATTGAATACATATGCGTATGACGAGATGAGACGATAGAAGTTGAAAAAAAGTACGCACGTACCGTTCACCTCATGTATTTCACCCTCGTCTGCATGGTCGTCGTCGTGTGGGCTCCGTTTGTCGCTGCCTTCCCCGGCTACTCGAAAACAAATAAAAAATTATTCAACGAGTTAAATTGAATACATTTGCATATCACGAGATGAGATGACAGAAAATACAAAATTTACGCACGTACCATTCCCCTCCTGCATTTCAGCCTCGTCTGCACGGTCGTCATCATGTGGGCTCCATATGTCGCTGCCTTGCCCGTGTACTTGAAAACCAAAAAAAATTAGTATTACAGTGAAATTCAATACACTTGCATATCACGAGATGAGATGACATCAAAGACAAAAATGTGTTACACAGAACTAACCAACATACCATTCACCTCCAAGTTCCCGATAGGCAAAGGACGGCCACCGTCATCCAAGCACAGGTCCATGTCTCTCCCATGTACATCTAAGTAATTTGGAAATTTCAAAAATACAATGGAAGTGGAAGTGCCATTGGACGGCGACACCAAAGTAGATATGAAGTCCCTCAGTCTGGCGAACTCTTAGGTGACGTGCTGTATCATTTCAAACTTCACAGTCCGCAACCTCATCTCGAAGAGGACGCGCTGGTCCAACAACATGACCTCCATGTCCTCCCTCATCACAGTCGGTCCACCACGCGTACCCTACAGCCCAGATGTCGACGGGCCAACCATTGGAGTGGGTAATGTACCAAACTGCCGTCCCGAGGATCCTCGTCATCCTCGGTGTTACCACCACCAGTCTCGCTAAAGGTGTCACCACCACTATCATCAGCCTTAGATCCATCGTTGCCGTTGCCCTCCGGTGTCTGACGATCATCGCTCGCAGATGTCTCACCGTCCTCAGCCCTTGCACCGGACTCGTCGTCATGGCCGTCACCCGCACTGCTATCCTCATGTCCCCTACTGACCGGTGCCGCCTCATGGAACTGTGGCCCGACAACACTCATAGCGAGGTCGTCCAGAAATTGCACCGGACAATCGGTGAACGGCACCAAACTGGCGATGTATGGCAGATCACGCTCGGCCCCCGTGGGACACAATGTGGCGTGCACGTGCAGCTGTAGAAACAGGGGGGAACGGGTAATTAAAATATATTGCATACTATTCCCAATAAAACAAAAGAATTGAAACGGAAATGAAAAATGTCCATGACGAGTACATCCCTGAAGAACGCATCATACGTACGCTACTGCGGTTGTTTCGTAGAGGTCCAACACAGAAGTCGGGGCGATCGTTCACCCATCCGCTCACCGAAGCATTCGCCGAGTTCGGGCACGGCCTCAAATGCCCAAACCTGTCCGGACAAAAATAAAAATTTGGACGAAAAACATAAAAATGTCGCATAAGTATCCATCCAAATAATGTACGTTACCCTTCCAATACTAACAAACAAAACACATAAACGTAATGTTGTTCGTACCTGCATGACGATCGAAAATTCGTGAATTGTGTAACTAACATCCTTCTCGTTCTTCATCTTTGCATCGCTCATTTTACGTGCCGAAGTACCCCGGAATCCATTCAACAAACGCCTATTCCCCACTTTGGCCCAAGGGTATGAAAAAAACAGCTCCAAGTCATCGACGAGAGAGCGTATCCTCATCAATGTCAACATTATTATGCGGAGCAATGATAACTCCTTCAACAATCAGAGCAAGTCCAAGCTTGTATCTATCTGCCCGGGGTGTCGAAGCACGGACAAACGTCTTCTCCAACTGGGCACATGAAATCTTGTCCAGCGATTTGAAATACTTTTCCTACAGCCTCCTTTTCTTCAATGCTTTGCTCAACCGATCACCCTTTGGAAACGAGTCAGCATGCAGTCCAGTCACGATAGCATACTCCTGCAGTCCAAATCGGGTAAGGTGGCCCTGCACGTTGAACTACAACTCATGGGACTTATTGCAACGTATCCCTCAGCACACAAGGGCCTGGATTAGTTGACCGAAAAACTGAATCTCCGAAATGTCAGCAAGAAACACAAGGCAGCAGTTCCAAAAGTCATCCCGCAGTTGGTCGTCGAAGTTATCCATCACCATTTTGATGTACTTGAGGTTGCTCCGTTACGGGATGCGCGCGGGCAACCGTACATTCTCCGGCACCAAAAATTGAAATTCCATCTGTTCTGCACATGAAACGATAATGGTCAGACCATAAATCAATACCAAATGAATATTTCAAAGAACAAGCGTACTTCGGAAGAGCATACAACCACATCAATTGGAACAAGTAATACGATAAACGTATAATAACAGATCGTCTACCCAAACGTATAAGAACAGATTATGTCGAATTGTGCATGCAATGTCGAACTAAAAAAAATGTTACTAACAATATTTTGAATGTGCAAAAATACGTCCGGCAATGAGATATGAATGTTCGACATACATGTTATTTCGAAACGCACGTGTGCATGTCGTCACTGCCCACAGTCATGTGTCGAGACACTGTCACCGAAACCTGTGTCGACAAATGACTGCACTCGTCTGGCAGGACAGTACCATCTCTCATCTGTCAAGAATGCCTGCAGCTAACTGTCAGGAACGATAGTTTTCAACAAGCACATGTGATACGTATGCATGGTGCCCCAACACACGAACTTGGTACAAAACAACGGAAATCCAGTCATCACAGTCGAAAAACAATTACAAGTGAAAACAAACACCCTCTAAGTCCTTTTCTATAGGATGTCTCATTACACTATCGTCTTGCAAATGTAGCATATGGATTGTAAGGTGCATATTGCAAAAGGGTTCACATCGTAAGTATAATTAATGTAAATAACCAAATACAAACTTCTAAGAATAAACGAATCTATGATGGGTTCAAAATATAATTAGAGAACTAAATATGTACTCTATAAATGTAAACAATTTTAAAATACACATGTCTACATGTCCATGTCCACAAACATTGTCCTAACGAACAACATTTTAAATCAAAAATAGTTTGTATCAAACCCAAAATTAATCGGGCACGGCCTCAGTTTCGACATTTCTCACCCACTGCCATTGCCAACCACCCACTGTCCACAACAAAATATTTTCATTATATCAACCAAAAACGTATTCAAATGTAGTGTTACCTGTTGATAGTTTCCCATTTTCATGCAATGTGAAAATGGACTTCGATAAGTTGTCAAGTTCAAGCAGTATATTAAGATGCGAAAGATCCCTAAGCAGGTTGAGATGTTCATTATTTTTTCCCACGACAAAGGTCAGGTATAATTTTGATTTGTCCAATTTAGTGAACAACTTGATTTTAACATGTCATTAAGAAACACGTGAAATCAACAGACTTTAAATAATGTTAGAACATCATAGGGCGAGTCAAAGAACAAAAGGACAAGGTCCACATTTATTTATTCATAACACAAATATTATTAACATAAGTGCACTCATAAAAGTGACTAGTATCAAATGTGAAATTTAGATTCCTATGAGAAATTTATTTTTTCTACAATACTACTTTATTTATGTCAAATTAAAGTTTATGAATCATACATACAACTAAGCGACTAATACTGAATATCAACAAGGAAAATGCACGTACTTTTAACAAAAAAAAAACATATACTTGATGTAACACAACTGCAGAAACTCTAACATACGTGCATAGAAACAAAATTATCACCAGTACAAACATGAAATATGGTTTCTTTTGGCTTTTGTTTTTGACAAAGCATATATAATTCGATTAAAACAAAAAGTAATTGTCCCCAGTAAATTTGTAGTCTGCTACACGAAACATGTATCTCCATTCAATTTAGTACTAGATCCCAACTTTTCACCAAAATCCAGGATCCATATGGTGCAGTAGGCTCTGCCACCAAAATTTGCATAAGCATGTACACTTAAATTGATCAGAATTAGTAAATTTAGTGGAAACTCCTTCAAACATGGAAAGAATTTACTAACACGATATGAAATCTCATTATATCATGCATCACCAATCATACACATAAAACAACCATCAAATTAATTATGCTACTAAATCATCAACCAAGAAAAAGTAAAATCCATACCATCACCGACCTGCACAACATGTCCATAATCTCCATCTTTGTTGATGTTTTCTTTATTTCAGATTAAAAAAACAATAAATGTATGCAATTGTAATGCAGAACAATTTATCAAACAAAAGAGGACGGGTCCTTCAAACATAAAGATTTTTTTCACTCATAGTATCATGAAATCAAAAATTTTAAATGTGAAGGATAATTTGTATTATCTTTCTAATATTTCACTTAAGGTAGCTCCACCGATGCAATACATAGTCCATCAAATACACACCAAAAACAAAAACCCATACATCCTTTTTCACAAAAGGCAAAAACAAAGAAATGATCCACAGAAACCATATTACCATACGTACGAGTACTGCTGGGCAATCAGCGGACAACATCAAAAGATTGCAGCACTGAGAAGATCGCGATTTGGGTTTCTATTTTCGGTCATCGGAGTCGGACTGGGTTTCACAGTTTGAGGGACTCCGTTTTCGGTGAGGGAGACGAGTTCGCCAGCAATTTGCAACTTCGATGGGCGATTTATCCACAGAAATTGGACTGGGTTTTCGCGATTCAGGCTCCTTTCGTACTCACGGCAATAGGGATTTAGGGATTTGCCTTGGATTTATGGATTTCTCTTCGATTTAAGGATTGAGTTCGCCGGGATTTAGGGATTGAGTTCGCTGGGTTTAGGGATTTGGGGGTTCCTTTCCTTTCCTTTCACATTCTGCATTTTTTTGGTTGCAGGATTCCATTTTGTCTAACTAATTTTGTACAATTTTTTGATTGGTCAAATCTCATTTAATTATGATATGTAGGGTATTTAAATTTAACAATAAGGGCAAATATGTCTAAAATTTTGTAAAATTGATATTCTTGTAATGTAAAAAAAAAAAGTGACATTTTTGTAATTATGAAGCCAAAAGTTAACTATTTTGATAATTTCCTCTTTTTTTATTTGCGTGTAATATTATTTTACGGAAGAGTGTATGGTTGAAAATAAGAGAGCAAAAAAGAATGAGAAGAAGAATGGGGTCAAACGGGGACATAATCAGATGGTCTTCATCTTCAAAAGGAAATCAATTTCCTGTTGTGGTTAAAGCTAAAAACCAACGCAATGAACATCAGTGGTGGATCTAAAGGACGGCCAGCGACGCCCTAGCTGGATCTGCCGGGACTTTTTTTTTTTTTTTTTTTGTTAGTAATAGATTTAATTTTTACCTTATATTGTTGATAATTGATTTCATTTTCAAGCATCCCTTATAGCTTACTTGGTGAGAATTAGCTTTAATATACTTCAAGTCTTAGGTTCGAATCTTTGTCAATGAAATTGTTATGTATTATTTTTATTCTATAATTTTTACCAAAATTCAATAAGAAATGGACAATGAGGATTTGAACCCATGATCTCAAGCAAAGGTAGTGGAAACTTAACCATTACAATACCTCTTGAATTGTGTTACTAAATTTAACAAAATGATATTTGTTATGTTTTGATTGTTTTAATGCAAACAATTTTAAATATTTGAATTCACACCCTTCCTTTGAATTATATAAAACTTGGCAACAATGTTATTTGATGAATTCTATTTATTCTTATAACATAATTATATATATTCATTTTAAACAAAATAATTGTTATATTATACTTTAGGCCTTGTTCGATTCCTTCTTTTTTTAAAACTACATTTTTCTTTCTTCTTTTCATCCATACATTTTTCAATAAAATAATATTATACTTAAATTCAAAAAATTTCTTTATTTTTAGTCACACGTTCAGATGTTCTTTATCAAATCACGATTCCAAAATGCATTTTTTGCCAAAAAAAAATAGATACCAAAAAGACTTTTAATATTTTATTTCGGCCAACGGTAGATAGTTAACGACCGCCCGTGTTGACTCAAACTCCTGAATTCGCCACTGATGAACATAGTGAGCTCTTCACTGGCATACTTGCTTACTAGAAGCAAGTTCATTTTTATTCTCTTGATTCTTAATTATCGTGAACCTTTAGCTAGATGATATAAGAAGCATATAAAGTGAAAATTACAATTATGTAAACAAATTCAGCAAGATTCTCAGATAACATTTTACTGCCTTTTGAGAGTGGTGTCAATGCTCTCCACAAAATTAAGCAAGAATCCATCTGAGCCATGATTCGCTAGCAACGAAACTGCTATAGGGAGACCATCATGTGTGCCTAGTGGTATGCTTACCTGTTTATTTCACAATTTCATCAATATTAGTGATTAATCAATGATAATAGCAAGCAATAAAGAGCATAAAGAACTGAAAAACGAGATAGAACCTGGCAAAACCCAGATACTCCTGCAACAGATAACAAACTTAAAGCCCTGGCGTTAAGAGTTTCCCGGGTGGTTGGCTCTATTTGTAGCTTTGCTGGAGGGTCAGAAACTGTAGGCATGGCTAAGATGCTAGAATCCTATGCAAATGAAGAAATATAATAGCATTAGTGGTTGTAGATATAAATGCATTGCTGCTGATATCATAAGATGCACAATAAATAACTTGGATCGTTGAAGGATTAAAAAAGAGAGAGAATATACTCCCAATAAAGCGTTGAGAGCTGCGCGCAGTTCAGTCTTCAATGAATAGCATATATCTATTTTTTCATCAGTTGTCTGGAGAGCTTTCCACACTCGCTCTGCTATTTTGGGACCTAAATCAGGCTTGACTGAGAGGACCCATTCACTGTGATTGTTCTTGAATTCATACCTGAGCTTCATAATAACGTTGTTAAAGGGCTCAAAATATATGATGAAGACATTGTGTAAAATTTAATATAAAATCTTGCCAATCGATTCAAAAAATGGATCGACATGACACCCAAAACAATGAAAAGAAAACATAATATACCAACATATATCCAAACAAATCTTGTTCATAATTTGCACCTCTGAAGCAAGTGTCTGGCGCTTGAAAGAGCTACCAATGATGGTATACTATCCTCTTGGTTTTTGGTTCCATTATTACTAAAATACTTCAAACTTGGAACATTGTCCTCAACGTATTTCCCAAGACTTGCATATTCTATTTTCTGACCTACAAAAATCAGGTACACTAGTAACATATGTATTTGTGTTGTGATGCCAACCTAAGTAAACGTTATATCTTAAAAGTATTGTGCAAACTTCAAATCCCCGATAATATAACATTTTGAATGACAACAACATACTTCCATGTAGCTTCTCTATTGAGCTAATAAGAGCTTCTGTAAGTCGTTCAGATGGGATGCTTGACAGTTTAAAACAATCTTCTGCAATAATAAGACGATTGAATCTCACAGGATTATCGTCTCGCAATTTCAATAGAACCTTTCCAACACGCTTCAAAATCACAGGATCTCTTGCAAACCATCCTGAAAGAGAATTTTGAGATGAAATCGTTTGCCCAATGAATGTCGTAAATCTAAAAGCATAATCTGAGACAGCATCAAGTGGAACGAGTACACGAAAGTCTAAAATAGGAATACACATACAAACTTGCAGCAAGAAAAAGTGAATTGGAGTGTTGGTGTCATCTGTAAAAAGATAAACTTTGAAACAAAAGTTTGCCCACAAGGGGTTTGTCTTTTCAATCAATTTGATTCGTTCCACGTTTTACGGCAGCGATTTAAAACCCTTCCATTGATTTTAATTTGATAAGAAAATCATTAGCATTGTTGTAGTAAAACATCAATTTTATAGAGTTACAGAAATTGGCAGCTCTTGAACTCATAGTGCTATTTACTAACATTTGGCACTTAGCAAAAAAGACAGTTGAGTGTCCAATCATCGGTAAATTATTCCTCACCTACGGTGTCAAAACTTTGTGCCATAGGAATGACTCCAGAGGTTGAAACAATTCCATGAGATGGTCGAAAACCAAAAATCCCGCAATGTGATGCAGGAACTCTAACACTTCCTCCAGTGTCAGTACCTATAGCAGATAACACGTTTTGATTCAACTAAGGATAAAATAGAATAAGAAATGTTCTCTAATGCGAAGAAATTCACCTAAGGAGAAATCTACAAGCTTTGCACCAACTGCAACAGCAGATCCACTAGAAGATCCTCCAGGTATCCTATCTGCCGCACAGGGATTAGTTGGCGTCCCGTAATGTATATTTTCTCCATTTATGCTGCCAAAGAAACTGTATTTCAGCTATCTTATTTTTGTGACTAACGTAGATCTTCAGTCCAACACAGAAGAATTAGTTTAGAAGTGAAAAATCACCATTTGAAATGCATCTTAGTAGCATGGTTCGTGGGGACTGAAATGGAAACTTCATCCTTAGTTCACCGGTCATATATGTGTGTTTTTATCGACAAATTATCAACTATTAATTCGACTAATGGCTTTTGGAAAGCTACTTAAATTTCTGCAAGAAAACTACATTTGTGACGAATGCATTTGATGTAGCTTGAATATTAAAACGGCGATGGACATAGGTGCAACATAAATTTCATGTTTTAACGCATGGAACTGTTAAATGTGGCATTAATTTGTAATCTTAGGAAATAAATAAGGTTACATGCACTTGAAGAAAATGTATCAGGAAAATACATGATGCAAATTCATGAATTATTAGGTGTCCATTTATATTCCCATGTCTCTAGAGTTATCCATGTAGTCCTATAAATAGAGGTCATTCTTGTAGTCTCATTGTAAAGAAAAAAAAAAGAAGAAAACATTATTGAGTGTGCTGTAGCAACTCAAAAATTATCAATAAAAATTCAAGTTTTTCTTCAACACTTCGTTTCCGCACTAACATATTTGGTATCAGAGCTATAACTTGTGATTGCATTTTTTCATGGCTTTCATACAAATAGCTTCGTTGTTTACATATTCTTCTAGTCAAGTCCCAATCTTCGAAGGCGAGCATTATGAATACTGGAGCATCCAAATGCAAACTTTCTTCATCTCCTTAGATCTTTGGGATGTCATTGACGATGAGGAGTACGAAGAACCATCCGAAGACAATGAAAATTACGAAAAATTGCAAAAAGAATTTAAAAGAAAAGATGCAATGGCTCTCCGCTATATTCAAGGAGTCGGGAAATCAATTTTCCCTCGTATCTTTGGTGTTAAAAAAGCCAAAGATGCTTGGGAAATATTGATGCAAGAATTTCAAGGAACGGAGAAAACGTCGCCTTGAAACTTCAATCCTTATGGAGAGACTTTGATAATCTCCAAATGGAAGAACGAGAATCGGTTCGTGTTTTTTCTTCACGAGTAGCTGAGACAGTAAATCAAATCAAAAGCTGTGGTGACACAATTACAGATAAAAGAGTCGTGGAGAAAATGTTAAGATGCCTTCCTCCAAAGTTTGACCATGTTGCAGCCGCAATTGAAGAATCGAAAGACTTGTCCAAAATGACCATTTATGAGTTAACCGGGTCACTTCTTGCCCATGAGCAAAGGATCAATCGTTCGAGTAACCAATCCACTACCGAACAAGCTTTCCAATCAAAGCAAACATCAAAAGGAGGATCGAACAACTATGGAGAACACAACAGAGGCTCAAATCAAACAAAACAAAAAGATAGCTATTGGAAGAAGGGTGACAAGCAAAGCAAATGGAAAGGCAAGCAAACACAAATTTCTGGTGGTAACAATCCAACTTGCATAATTTGCAAAAAAATAAATCATGAATCAAAGGAGTGCTACTTTAGATGCAAAAGGTGCAAGATCCCCAATCATTCTCAAAGGGATTGTTGGTTTCAAAATAAAGAGATGACAGAAAGAAAAAGTGCAGCAAACTTTTCTCAAGAGAGCAAGCGCCGCGAGCATGGAATAGCAAAATCAATAGCTATTTCATCCAAAATGGATTCAATCGAAGCACGAGTGAATCATCTCTATATGTCAATAATCTTGGAAGAGACTTTCTTGTAGTATGTCTTTATGTGGATGATCTTCTATACTTTGGTACAAGTAAAAGCATGGTGGAAGAATTCAAGAAAAAGATGATGAGAGACTTTGAGATGAGTGACTTGGGTCAAATGAAATACTTTCTTGGCATCCAAGTCAAACAAAGCCCGGGAAGAATTTTTTTTATCTCAAGAGAAGTATATTAATGATTTTCTAGAAAAATTCAGCATGAACCAGTGCAAGCCAGTCTCTACTCCAATGGGGCCGAATAAAAAATTCCAAGTCAATGATGATGCTGAAAAAGTAGATGCTACACTCTACCGAAAGTTAATTGGTTCACTCATCTACCTCAACACAAGGCCGGATATCACTCAATCAGTGAGTTTACTTTCCAGGTTCATGAATGAACCAAGCAAAAATCAAGGCATTGAGTTCAAAAAGGAAAATAACTTCAACCTTGTTGGCTACACTGACAGTGATTGGGCAGGCTCACTTGTTGACCGCAAAAGTACATCGGGCTACATCTTTTGTCTTGGAACAAATATTATTTCATGGAGTTCGAGGAAGCAAAGGTCTATAGCACTATCTTCTGCAGAAGCGGAATACATTGCAGCTGCGGATGCCGCTTGTGAAGCAGTTTGGCTTAGAAGAATTCTAAAAGACTTGATGTTTGAACAACAAGAGCCAACAACAATACATTGCGACAATATGTCAGCAATTGCTATGACAAAAAATCCAGTTTTTCATGCCAGATCGAAGCATATTGAACTACGTCATCACTTCATTCGAGATTTGGTAAGTCGAGAAGAAATTTGCATGGAATTTATCAACACAAATGATCAGCCAGCAGACATTTTAACAAAGGCAGTCACATTTGACAAGTTCGACAAGATCAAGGAAAAACTCAAGATTACAAATTAAGAGGGGGTGTTAAATATGGCATTAATTTGTAATATTAGGAAATAAATAAGGTTACATGCACTTGAAGAAAATGTATCAGGAAAATACATGATGCAAATTCATGAATTATTAGGTGTCCATTTATATTCCCATGTCTCTAGAGTTATCCATGTGGTCCTATAAATAGAGGTCATTCTTGTAGTCTCATTGTAAAGAAAAAAAAGAAGAAAATATTATTGAGTGTGCTGTAGCAACTCAAAAACTATCAATAAAAATTCAAGTTTTTCTTCAACACTTCGTTTCCGCACTAACAGGAACTCCGAGTATGGAGTGAACGTCCAAAAGGAAAGTTCATAGTTGAATGCAATCAATTATTGAAATCTTTTTGCAATTATTTTAGTTGCAGACTTCAATTTATTTTATTTTTTTTCTCATTTTTTTTCATTTATGATAAACGCACACTAGGCATTAGCCTTTTTCTTTTTCATTTTTACTGATCAGGAACTTGGGGATTTTGGCCGTAACCAAAGTTTCAGTTTCCATAGATATCCTCTCCAATTTTCTTGGCCGAACAGTGCCTGATTATATATTCATGATCTCTCATCATCTGATATCAAAAAAAGTTTCTGGACAGATGCACAATTAAATATCATATTAGCTATTGGAAGTTCAATGATACTTGGATTTGATTGAACAATTCAGGACAATAAGTGCAGACAAGTAATATCCTGCCAACATTTGGAAATTCGACATATCAGAAGTGGAGGATTATCTAATCTAACCTGTAAGCCATTTCATCCATTACAGTTTTTCCAACACACGTGGCACCTGCCTTGAGCATATCCAAAACAGCCGGAGCAGTTGATACAGCAGCAGAATGCGTCCTCGCCCAGTCCGGATTCCCAAAACCAGCCACATACCCATCCACATCAAATCTGGGGAGAAAAATTGTTAATTATTTTGAAATAAAAAGCATATATTATTAAAAGCTGTCGAAGAGACTGACATATCTTTGACAGCAAATATGAGCCCAGTTAGTGGAAGTTGATGAGATGAAGGAGGTTGCAGAGTGAATTTCTCAGTGTAAGCTCCGTAATCTGATGAATTCGTCGCCATTGCAGAGGATTTGGCAGTTTCTCTGCTAATAAATATCTTATCTAAAATAGAAAGCTGCAGAGTTAAAAGGTCCAAAAAATGTGGCCACTTGTGACTGTATGTTTGGCTAAACTTATTTAAGTAAATTTGAAAATATAAAGGTAAGAACTTATTTTTCGAAGGTAGAAAAAATAGAATTTTATAGACACGTTTAGAGAAAAACTATAGAAGTTTCACGAAACATTGTCTTAGGGGTTGTTTGGCAAAACTTTTAATATAAATTTTGACAGATTTTAATAATGAAAATTCGATAAAAGTTATAAGCCACATAAAACATACGATTAAATTAATTATTGACTATAAATCCATTTTTTAAGTTTTTCCAAACAAGCATTTAATTTGTATCATATTTGTTGGGTTGTGTACCCATATGGTATAGTTTTGCAAATATAAAAATAAAAATTATTTTTTACCGAATAAAATTATGTTTGCTTATAGCATTTATTTATTATTGAGTATGCGAAATTAAAGTGCCTATGATTACTTGTGATAATATGAGTTAGGTACTTGTGATAATAGATCATTTACAGAAGAAGGCTCACCATCCAGATCGTATAGCATGCTGAACAAGGCGTGTGCTGAGAGATGCGTATCCATTGAACACATAGAAAATATCATTTGGACTATTCGTGGATAAATCCATCAGTTAGATGAAAAGAACATCAAAGAAACAAATAGTGGAGCACTAACTTTTACGGTTCAATAGTAAGATAAATCATAACAGTGCTCATAATCCCTTGTGCCACTGGACGCCTCTGAAAACAATAAAATACAGGTTCTTTACGTTAAGAAAAGTTTATAGGGCCCTTCAGTTGCTCTCTCGCAACAGAGCCAGAGTGAGAACTATACAAGAGTTATAAGAAGGGGAAACGGATAAGAATGCAAACATTAGAACCAATTTCAACAAACGACTCGCTATTACGATCGTCAATGGTCAACAGCAACTTCCGCCGTAGCTGATCTTCGATCCTGAATTCGCCACTGAATTTATGAGCAATATGTTAAAAGGCTATGCTACACAAACTCTCTAGCCTTAGACTCCCAAAACCTTTAGAGCATTAATTAATAAAACCAAGCTTCCTATTAATGTGCATTATCTGAGGATAAAGCTCCTCCTGTACTCAAACCACATCAATTCTTATCCCAAGAGCTAACAGAATTTATCAAGAATTACATCACCCTTGCAACTTTTTTGGATACTGAGGACCAAGTCCAAGTACAAAGTAATGTCCGTAGGCATTCCCAGCTAAGGCCCAACCTAGACTAATCAGGTTGTTTAGAAGAGTTTAGTGATCCACTCAATAAAAGAAATAATCCCAAGTTGACAATGAATAATACTAAGCCTAAGAGAAGCAGATCATAATTAAGTCTAAACATAATTGTGCAATACATAGTAGCCCTATAGAATGAAAGCTTATCTTCTTTTTTAACTCCTATTTTCTTCACAGAGCTTTTGAAGGACAGGCATAATGAGACACTTCTTCAAGAACACAATCAACAAAATATAGTTAAATACCTAAAAGTTAGCGGTAAGCAATTCCACATTAGTAGACCAGTACAGTGGCGGATTCAGCGTTGAGTTTGGACACAGGTTACAATACAAATATACATGGATTTATCTTTAAAAAATAAAATAAAAACTAAGAAAAAATTAGACATTTTCAAGGGCAAACATGAGCTATAGCAAGGTCGAGCCCGTGCCTGGATCCGCGGACCAGTAATTTTTTCTCCCAAAATAAACAGGAAGATAAACAGTATTTAGTGGTGTCTGTGTCCTCAACTACAAGTCTACAAGTTTACAAAGCAAGTTTGACAGTCAGCCAATTGCTCTTTGTATCCTGCAAGCCATAAATAGAATAATTAACTTAGTCAACAAGGTTTTTTTTTTTTTTTTTTTTTTTTTTGAAAACTTGATTAGTTGGAGCAGCACTCAGAGAGAAATATTAACTCGTCCTGTTTTCTGAACAACCCAGCTTCTTCCAAGTTATTCAAGGTAGCATTATGCTCAAAACCATTGCTGTGAAGAAGCTCTTTCCTAATTCAAGAGGATGAAGCTGAGTTCAAAATTTCTCAAAAGATGATACCCATATCAAACAGAGGAACACAGTCTTGAGAAAATGAAAACCAAATGGTTAACCCGACTTGCCTTAAATAGACAAAATTCTTTTTTGGCAACCTCGAATTTGTTATTGAAAACAAGACCAAAAGACGTAAGACATTACGATCGTGCTAGATGTACAGAATGAACCTTTACAGAACTTTCACAGAATGACATAGCGGTTGACGAATGAAGGGTGCTGCTAAGTCTAGTTGACAGAGATTCTAAAGATGAGCTGGCAATTAATCTAAATTAAAAGCAAATATATTTCTACAACGTTTAAGCATAAAATAATTTAATTAAATAAAAGTTACTTAAACTTGGTAAATAACAGGAAGACAATTATTAAAACAAATAATTAGCATAAATAAGAAAGATCTTACAGTATTGAAGTAGAAGGTAAAGACAGAATAATATCAATGAGATTTCCCTCGAGCTTGCACCCATATGTTTGTATACTCAAAGATAAGTGATTGGTGTAATATGAATTTAAGAAAGTGGGTTATGGTCCAACACGACTTCCGCACACTTATTGGTTTTCTCTCTTATTCTTTTGCATATTCACAATGGATCACACGGAATCACAGTTTTCCTTTCAACTCCTTCTTAAAACATTACCTTGACTGGTAACAGGGTTCTTACGACTTTCTCTAACAAGCTTAAAAAGCCAATATTTGGCAACACAGCAAAAAGATACTTGCACTAACCCTCAAGATTTTCACCATTGGAGTATAAGCAAGATAAGAGTTTTTGAGAAAATAATAATGATAAAAAGACAGTATCTTAAAACAACTCCATTTTATAAACACATCACACTAATATCTCTTATATAAGAGAATACATACATATTTCGGCTAAACTTTTGGTACTTTCTCTAAGGAAATTAGAACTCCATAGAGATTACTTTATTACACACTTCACTTCAAAGAAAGAAACTAAAATTGCTACAAGATTTGAAAAACAAGGTAGAGAGATAAATTTTTTATTTAAGACTCGATGCCTTCCTTCTGAGAATTAGTCTTCAATTTATAGACTTGAAAAGTTTCACAGTTGTCCATCATTATTGTTGCTTTAATTGTGTAAGATATTGGATATCTTACTGTGGCCTAAAGTTTTCTTGTCGTAATATGAAAAATAATTGAGGTAAACCCACAGTTTTTCTTTATCAACGTGTTTTTTTTATAAAGTAGTTGTTGACCCCAAAAATTGGTCCTTCCACGTAGCCAACTGAAAGCTACTCCACGTATTCCTCCCTGCGCACAATCAGCGAATAGTCAGGCGCACAAGACCGAAACCAACGGGGGTGGTGGCGACCGTATCACTCCGACGGTCAAGTCAGGTTTGGGTGATCGGAACAGTACCCAGGGGCTATGCAAATCAACAATAAAGGGGGAGGAGAAAATATATAAACTTGCTATGGAGTGCTATATATTGAGAGTTTCTTTACCTTTGCCTCTTGCCAAACCTTGGGTATTTATAGGTGGTATGAACCGTTGGATGTGGAATGCGTGTATACATCTGACGGTATGAAGCGTCTGCTCATAGGCGTCAATCAGTCGCGTTTGTAGAGTGGGCAGACAGTTTGTTTCCTCTGAGTTGAATTGACATAAAGTTGATAAGTCACATCAACTAGCCTCATGAAGACGTCAAATCAATTTAAGCCTTAGGTGCAGGACAAATCTCAAATTAGCGACGGATCTTCTAACCGGGGTCCACTTGATCTCGACCTCAGAGGTGAGATGCTTCGGCAGATCAGTATTAGGAATCGCTATATCACTTCGGAGAAGCTTCGGAAGGGTCGTTTTCAGGTCGGAATAAGTGGTGCTGCGCGGGGTCCACTTGATCTCGGCCTCGGAGGCCAGATGACACTTTGGTATCCGAGGCGTGTATAATCGGAGCATAACAGTGGTTCCCCAAGTCCGGGGATGAATATTTATATCATGCGTGGACTTGCTTTCCTGATCGGACCGCAAGTCATGGGAGTCTTGGGGGTTGATCTACTGCAGCGATCGAGGTTATAATAATAGGCAGATGTGTCAAAGTTTCATTATTGTGCGTAGCGTACGAGGCGGTGAACCGGCATGGGACGTCGCGTAAGGTGCATTGAAGCTTCGCGAATATGGTGCGCTAACCCCACAGACCGACGCGTTGGGAGATGACTGAAACTTTGTAAAGCATGGGAGGGAACGCAGCATCCGAGGCGATGACCCAAAAGGACCTTCGCGTCAGGTGCGTCCAAACTTTGTAAAGTTGAAGGAGGAGCTCATCTGCCACCGGTGCGCTGACCCCAAAGGTCGACGCGTTGGGAGATGGCTGAAACTTTGTAAATCATGGGAGGGAACGCAGCTTTCGAGGCGATGACCCAAAAGGGCCTTCGCGTCAGGTGCGTCCAAGCTTTGTAAAGTTGAAGGAGGAACTCATCTGCCACCGGTGCGCTGACCCCAAAGGTCAACGCGTTGAGAGATGGCTGAAACTTTGTAAATCATGGGAGGGAACGCAGCGTTCGAGGCGATGACCCAAAAGGGCCTTCGCGTCAGGTGCGTCCAAGCTTTGTAAAGTTGAAGGAGGAGCTCATCTGCCACCGGTGCGCTGACCCCAAAGGTCAACGCATTGGGAGATGGCTGAAACTTTGTAAAGTATGGGAGGAAACGCAGCATCCGAGGCGATGACCCAATAAGGCCTTCGCGTCAGGTGACTCCAAACTTTGTAAAGTTGGAGGAGGAGCTCAATCCGAGGCGACTCAAACATCAAATGATTTGACAACTGTTGCGTGTTTTCAAGGTGACAGTTGGGTGCCATGCCCATTCTCCTAAAAGGCTGCTGCAGCTACTAATTATTATTGACGGCTGGTTGTAACCGAGGTGACGCGTTTCAAGTAAGCGTGAAAGTCACAGCGACATCTTGGGCGTAGATCAAATCTGGCGTTTCATTTCAAT